AAACTTCAAATCTCAAACCTCAACATACACAAAAATATACACTAAATATGAGACGAAGACAGAATATTATGTACACAACTATGACGAAATGCTTACTACAGGCTTATACAAAGTAGGTGTTTCCTTCTGACTGCATATATAAGAAGTCGAAATATATCAACGTACATTTCCTTGTAAACTGGTTCGACCTTCAAGAATTAAATCACGGTAGAAAATAGACTGAAAATATAATAAAACCTTCCAACATTGCTTTGCTCTTGTCCAGACGAAATTCTGTTTGAGAATGTGTCTGAAGGTCACGTCTGCTGTGTCGCTACGTCAAGGTCACTATCAACTTAGAAAACTAAAAACGTCATGGCATAATACTAATTCAAAAATGAGTCGACTTTTCCTGGATCTTTTTGAAGCAACCAAGTTATTCTGTGTATCTGTGTGTGGGGATAGAGCATAGTTGCCAGATAAAAAAAAAAACTTCATTTTATGCCGAACCATTACCCAAAATATGCCAGAAAATGCCAAATAAAGTATAACATTGTGCCTACTTTACATCAAAAGCTCTACATTGAATTCTTCACTGTCATTCTCACTGCAACCAATAGAAGAAACAGCGTAAACCTTTTAAGATGTAAAATCTTTAAGCATTTTCTCAGATGGGATAAAGTCTTTGCAACTCATCTATAATGATGGCATATTTCTTGTTCCGAAAATCACCAATAAGGTGATCCCTTAGTGTAGGCGATACAATATGTTTTATTAGGCATGAACATTTAGTTATATGCAACTGTATGTGCTCTAATGTACTCCCCCGACCATGCGCTCTCATGATTTTACTTAGATGGTCAATTGTGCGTATTGCACAATGGCAGGTCATGCATACAGCAAGTTGCAACTCTGCTGCCTTTAACTTTATCACTACTTTGCCTGAAGTCATTGTTGTAATAAGCTGTGACTGGCTTTTTGACGGAGTTTTCATCCTGTGTTTTTCGGATTTTTCCTGATTTGATATGCTACTAATTCTTGGTGCAACAGTGCACTGACACAGTTTGCAATATGCTGCCTCTGATCCGTCTGAAGATTTTTTAAACCATGGGTATGTTTTCTTCCAGTTACTATTATACTTGCGATGTCATAAGATGCTTTCCATTTTTTGGATGACGTGGCCATTGGTAAAAGTAATAAAATCTTTCACAGATAGAACTAGGTCTATATTCTCTCTGTTTTCTGTCCTCAAGTAGTTTCTGAACAGTCTGAATCACTTGGTATCAGTGGTGGGTTTTTGTTTTATTTCCCTCATTTATCCTCATAAATAAATTACAGAGAGCCTTGGTTTATCGGAGTCACGATCCGTTTAGAAAGACAACAAATGCAAGAAGAAATGGCGCCAATCTCCGTTAGTCCGGACCAGGACATCACAACAAAGTCTGAAATAAAGATGTTAACTGTAGGTCTACATTGCTTTTAGTAAATCTGCGTGTTTCTAACGGAGGAACCATGAAGAAAATGTGAGCACATCTTGATAAGAAAAGCCAGGAAAAACCCAAATATGCCAGTTCGTTATCATATGCCAGTTCAGTTTCAAATATGCCAAATTTGTGGAATCTGGCATTAAAAATGTCAATGTGGCTACCCTGGGATAGAGTCGGGATGAGCGACGTTCAAACCTACGAGGACCGCACAACCAGCGATAAACATCTGGTGACACAAAGTGCCAACATTCGGAGAAGAATCCCCCGGGTACAAGTCCCAGAAACCCCGTTTAACAGTTAGATTATATTATGGCCACGGACTTCACCTGGGTGGGGCTATGAATTTGCGTCTTGTTTTGGGGTGAATATAGTTAACGGAAGGAAGGAGGGGCAGGGGCCGATCGTCACAAAGATGGGCACAGGATATGAGTGACTTCCTAGAGTATGAAAGTATATGAGGCAGGGGAACTGGCGAGAGCCCGAGTTTCTTTCAGGCAGACTGTGATGAGAGCGACGTTCTGCAAAGGACCTGCTACATGATGATGATAGTTAACGGAGGCAGAGGGTTGCGGGAGGTGGGGCTGAGTGTAAGAACAATTTTGTTTACATAATTATTTTTTTTTTTTGTATGCTTACACAGCTATGTCTTTTCGTCTCTCAGCAATGCACTTGTAGTCTGCAAAACATCATGTGCAATGAGCTGGGACTGACAGCCATGCCTCAGATAACGACTGTGGTGAACACCTACTTTACAATTGCTCAGTTTGATGTATGTTCAGTGTATGTTGTTGTCGTGTTTAATGATACCGTTCAGCTTTGTCTTTGAAAACGCACAACGTGAAGAACATGGGCAGGGAACTTAGGGTGGTAAGGATAACGAAGCGGTGGGAAAAAGAAGACTAGGATGAGAAGAAGACCACGACGAAGTAGAAGAAAAGAAGAAGACAAAGAAGAAGAAAAGAAAAGAAGAAGAAGAAGAAGAAGAAGAAGAAGAAGAAGAAGAAGAAGAAGAAGAAGAAGAGAAGAAGAAGAAGAGAAGAAGAAGAAGAAGAAGAAGAGAAGAAGAAGAAGAAGAAGAAGAAGAAGAAGAAGAAGAAGAAGAAAGAGAAGAAGAAGAAGAAGAAAGAAGAAGAAGAAGAAGAAGAAGAAGAAGAAGAAGAAGAAGAAGAAGAAGAAGAAGAAGAGAAGAAGAAGAAGAAGAAAGAAGAAGAAGAAGAAGAAGAAGAAGAAGAAGAAGAAGAAAGAACGAAGAAGAAGAAAGAAGAAGAAGAAGAAGAGAAGAAGAAGAAGAAGAAAAGAAGAAGAAGAAGAAGAATAAGAAGAAGAAGAAGAAGAAGAAGAAGAAGAAGAGAAGAAGAAGAACGAAGAAGAAGAAGAAGAATAAGAAGAAGATAAGAAGAAGAAGAAGAAGAAGACGAAGAAGAAAGAAGAGAAGAAGAAGAAGAAGAATAAGACTAAGAAGAAGAAGAAGAAGAAGAAGAAGAAGAAGAAGAAGAAGAAGCAAGAAGAGAAGAAGAAGAGAAGAAGAGAAGAAGAAGATAAGAATAAAGGAGAAGAAGAAGAAGATCGAAGAGAAGAAGAAGAAGAAGAAGAAGAAGCAAGAAGAAGAAGAAGAACTAGAAGAAGACTGAAGAAGAAGAAGAAGAAGAAGAAGATCAGACTGAAGAAGCATGAAGAAGAAGAAGAAGAAGGAAGGAGAAGAAGAAGAAGAAGAAGAAGAAGAAGCCAAGAAGAAGAAGAAGAAGAAGAAGAAGAAGAACAAGAAGAGAAGAAGAAGAAGAAGAAGAAGAAGAAGAAGAAGAAGAAGAAGAAGAAGAAGAAGAGAAGAAGAAGAAGAAGAAGAAGAAGAAGAAGAAGAGAAGAAGAAGAAGAAGAAGAAGAAGAAGAAGAAGAAGAAGAGAAGAAGAAGAAGAAGAAGAAGAAGAAGAAGAAGAAGAAGAAGAAGAAGAAGAAGAAGAAGAAAGAAGAAGAGAAGAAGAAGAAGAAGAAGAAGAAGAAGAAGACGAAGAAGAAGAAGAAGAAGAAGAAGAAGAAGAAGAAGAAGAAGAAGAAGGAAGAAGAAGAAGAAAAGAAGAAGAAGAAGAAGAAGAAGAAAGAAGAAGAAAGAAGAAGAAGAAGAATAAGAAGAAGAAGAAGAAGAAGAAGAAGAAGAAAGAAGAAGAAGAAGAAGAAGAAGAGAAGAAGAAGAAGAAGAAGAAGAAGAGCGGAGCAGAAGAAGAAGAAGAAGAAGAAGAAGAAGAAGAAGAAGAAGAAGAAGAAGAAGAAGAAGAAGAAGAAGAAGAAGAAGAAGAAGAAGAAGAAGAAGAAGAAGAAGAAGAAGACGTGATGATAATAATGGTGATAATGATGGAGACAACGACAAAACTAGCTACTGAGTAAATTTAAAACGTTTTTATAAATATTTTATACAAATGAAATTATTTCATACTTGTCTGTTTACGAAACGAAAGTTTAGAGAGAATGAAGGGGTATATGCCTGGAAAGAGAAGAAGAGGAAGACCAAAGAGAAGATGGGTGCAGGATGTGGCGGATGATCTCCAGATGGGTGTATCCGATGCAGGACATCTTTCTTGTGATCGAGAAGTTTACCTGACGGTTGTTGTGTGAGCAAGGCTCTGCAAAGGACATGCTACTGACTAACTGACTGACTGACTGACTGTTTACGCATGATTGCCGATAATTCTTGCAGACTTTAGTTGAAATTACCTTTTTAATGCCAATTGCTCTTATCCTCTTTAGATAAACAACATCACAACGGTCCCCGGAGGAAGCCTGCCAGCCAATCTGTCCCAGATTTCTTTCATTCGTAACCCAATATCATTCATGGACCTTGATGCCTTCGATGGATCAGCCAACACTTTAACAACACTCACCTTTTTCGGGGCTAACTTTTACACGCTGCCGGATGCATTTCTTCATCTGAACGTTCTCAGCTGGTTAGAAATTTCGGAAAGCATTGTTAAGGACTGGAACGATAATGTTATGAAACACATTGGGGCTTCCTTAAACACGCTATCCATAGAAAACGTTGAAATGAATACGTGGCCTTCGTGGATGCAGTACTGCACAAACTTAACAGACCTTGGCATCAGCGGAGCATCTATCGGGGACATTCCTGACAACGGCTTGGATAGTTTGGTTAACACGGCACAAAATCTGGAGCTAAGCAACAACAGTTTTACTAAAATACCAAAAGCCGTCTCTAAGATGACGGCTGTTAAATTTCTGGGTTTTCAGGCCAATAAAATCTCTGATGTTTCGTGGCTACCTCAGAACGCTAAACTAGAATCGATATCTTTGTTCGGTAACAGACTACAGGATTCCAAACAATTAAGCACTGCGATACTTCCTTATGTAAGCACTTTAAATGGGATAGAACTGCATACCAACCTTTTGACATCCTTTCCCGATTTGGGTGCTTTCACACTCATTAATGAACTTGACTTCAGACGAAACAAACTGATTGACCCAAATTCTGGATCTGTGCCCACAGGTCTGGTGGACCTAAAATTGGGAAACAAGTTAAGAGTCTAAAAGTTGTTTGCTGCTTCGACAGAGAGGAGAGTAAAACATAATTATCGATCAAGCTTTCTGTTATGCAGTTAGTGCCAAGCATGGACAATGATTTAAACACAGAAACAGAAAAAAAAAATAACTGTAAAAAAAAAGCTATCTTTTAAAGATGACTATCATCACAAGAAAGGTCAGGATCTGCATCAGAAAAAAAAAAGATAGAAAAATGAACGACACTGAAAGACAGAATGAAATGCTTTAGCAGTCTAGTAAGACTGCAGTCATTTCAAACAGTGTATGAGAACATCTTCTTCTTCTATCTTCTATTCGTTTAATGGAGCATAGGCCCTCAACTAATTCTCGCCAGTTCGTTCCATCTTTCCCTAATGTATGGAGCGCACCAAAAGTTCTTGTTATTTTCACTTCACTTTCCAGCTCTCTTTCCTTTTTTTTTTTTTTAATGCTTCCTGGAGCTCTAATGGAAAGATATTCTTATGATATTATTCTCAGGTTTTCTCAAGTGTGCCTTATCCAACACCAGCGTCTTATCTTTGCCTCTTGGTCCACTGGAACATGTTTTCCAGAACTAGATTACTATTCTTCCAAAGCTCCGGCTAGTGATCCTATCACAACATTTAATTCTCTCTATTCTGTGACGACATATGAGGCCTACGACGGAATATCAGGGCAGAAGAAGGAAAGAAGAGATCGACAGACGGATTCAGACTTGTTGATGTCCTAAGATGTACAAAACCCTGAGGCACCATCTTTTTAATTTACATTAGCTAATCTCGGAAAACTTTATAAAATGTAGGTATTTTGAATATGTGAATAATGGAAACATATTGTCGTTTAATTGTTAGCAACATAAATAATAAACAATGTGAAAGCAATGTTTCCTTGTAAATTTATCTTGTCATGTGTTTACTACAGTAATAATTACATAAATAAAGCAAATAAAGTGAATCCTTTATAACTAAAGTACAAATGCAACAACGAGCAAACGCAATTGTCTGTTTTTCCAGGCAGCCGAAGTGTCAAAATCATGTCTTTTTGTTTACAAAGTTCAGGACACAGGTTACGATACGCGGCGGCTTCCATATATCTTAGCGCTCTGCTATTGGTTGACGTGTGAAAGATGTGAAATGCATTGTCCTTGGTTACAGAGTGTCCAGATTTTAAAAGATGGTGTGCTATTGAAATTTACCGAATTGTTACTGCATTATACAGTATAGACTAGATACAGCGAAATACACTAAGCAATAAAATGTGTGATCTCATGTTTGTGTCTGCTTTGTTGAAATAAACCATGTGTTTGTAGAATAACAGAAATTATATCTGAAAACTTTAAAATAAAACTGCATTTGTGGGAGGGGGGGAGGAAAGGGGGGGGGGGTGTGTATTTTAGGGCCTTGCCGATTATGAAGCTATAAGCTGTAGCTTAATTATCTTATAACCGAATCCAGTACTGATCTGCAATGATGTCGGTATGAGTGAAGTGGACGTCCAACACGCACTGCTCGCTACTCCATGTTTATGTTCCCATCATTTCTTCCTGAGTAGAGTTTGGTCATCCCACTATTATGTGTCAATCTTCATTGGCCAGGCCATTTTCTTTCACTTATTCCCAAAATGTCTATCTTATTGTTCGCCATTTCTGCTGATCTGCCTGCTTCATACATAGTTCTGACGTTACAGCAGGCAAGCTGAATTATGTTCCTGGGCGCCAAGAGGCAGTTAGTCGGGGCTGGGTTTCCCTGCAGGCTTTTGCCCAGTCCTTCACCATTGACAGTTATCCTGTCAACTACATCTATGACATCCGGATCTCCATGAGTATTATTTTTTATTTATGTTTGTCTCTGCTTCTGTAGCGGTTATCTGAGCTGGGTTTGCTGGCCCGCACATCCAACCCCTCATCGCCTTTTACGACATGCTGAGAGGATGCAGCGGTGCTATTGTTAATAACACCGGGCACCACGTGGTGAAAACAGGACGTATACCAAACTCATTTTCCTATAAGAAATAAAGGAAGAATTATTTTTCCGTTCTCATGGAAAAACGAGTGTTATTATACATCGATAATGTTGTTTAAGAATGTGTTATGCTTCTGGAAGATGGTGGCCGTTGCATTATTGCTCCATTTGTAGACTGAACGTATATAGTTTCGTCGCCCAGATACTGAGTTGAGTGCATGGTGCGACCCTGTGAGCTGCGGATTTCATTTGGAATCTTTTTCAACTGTGATCATTGTGGTGTTGTGAACTGGAGATTCAGAAAATGGCGCGTGGCCTGTCGTCACAATATTGGTCGTGCCCTTATGTGATTAAAATTGATCGCGTGTGCAACTGCTGATTTGTTGGTTACCTCTGCTACCGTCGATCATGAACTGCAGTTTTAATGGCGGACTGTTTGTGTTAGCATTTCTAATGGCTACCGTATGCCTTTAATGCGTGTGTATGCTAGTACATATGCTGAGACTGCAGTCTGTCAATCTTTTCCCAAGGTACTGTGATAAACATTCTGTGTGTTTTTCAGTGGCACAGGAGCGGAGCAACGATGGGGTGACCCGTTTGCTATGAAGCTGAAACTAACATTAACATTTCATTTTTTTTTTTAACTTATAAATCGTGCCACTCGTCTCGGACTTCTCAAGTTTATTCCTTCTCATAACGGTAACGTCCAAAAATATAGACTGTCTAGGTCTAATTTTTCGAATCATAATTATACACTACAAGTCGACACATAAATGGAACCTAATTTTCTTTTTAAATATTGTGCCTTTTCCAGAGATAAAGTTGCCTGCAGTTAAACTAGTTCTGTCGTTTTGAAAACTATGTGTCGAGTCTTCAACTGTCTCCACTGTAGTACTACTTTCGCAATGCCACGAGAACGTTTTCAGACATTTATCAGTGCCTCATTTTAGGACAACCTGAACTCAGAATGTTAAAGAAGTAATAGATACTTGTTGGACCACAGTTTCCCTTGACTACAGATGAATGAGACAAAATCCATCCCCTCAGACTGCTCTCTAAACAAGTGCAGACGAGACTAGCGATGTTTGAAAAGTCAATGGTCTTTGCTTTGGTGAGTGACGCTAAGGATAGCGGCAAGCGAGTTAGTTTTGTATTCTGCAGATTAAGATCTTGCAGGTTGGGCAGACCTTTGAAGGCATTTTCAGAAATGGTTTCCAGTGGGTTGTTATTTAATATAACGTTTGTTATACTTGGACTTTCCGGGAAACTGGTGTCTGTTATTTCTCTGATGAAGTTGTAGTCAACTTCTACTTTTTGTATGGATGGCGGGAAAGAAACTCCATCTAGATGAGTCAGAGAGTTATGGCTAAGAAGTAGATCTTTTACCGATTTTAGACTAGACAAAAATCTAGGAATGCGTGGTAGTAAATTCCCTGCCATGTCAAGTTTCGACAAGCCGGAAGGTAACGACCCGAAGTTTGAATCACTCAGACGGTTGTTTGTAAGGTCCAGTTGCTTTACATGGGCCAGAAAGTCCAAATTTGGGAAGGCTGGTAGTAAATTGGTTTGTATTTCCAGGTCAGTTAGCGTGTTGTTATGAGGACGTAGAACTGTGCTTAACTGGTTAGAATCGTACAGTCTGTTGCTACCCAAAGTTAAGGACTGCAGTTTGCCATTTCCAGGCAACCACTTCACGTCCGAGATTCTATTTCTGTCCAAGGATATAGAAGTAACCGCCGCAAGTTTGGACACGGCCTTAGGAATTGCAGTTAGGTTGTTGTTTATTAGTATCAGAGATGTTAAAGTGTTGACCGATCCATCTAACCCATCATCCGGTATATCCGGCAACGAACACCCAGATAAACCCAACATTTCCAACTTGGAGGCGTTTTTAACCCAAGGTGGCCATGAATTTAAAGGAATATCTTGGGTAAAATACGTTCCCAGTGTTAATCCAACATGTGCCATTGCTTTGCTGTTCCAGTCCAGAATGTTGCAGTATGATAAGGTTAGGTCGTTGAGGACGTTCAGGCGGAGGAAGGCGTCGGGGATGCGGGTAAAGCGGACATTAGAGAGCGCCAGGACTGTTAGGGTGTCAGCGGAGTCTGCAAAAGCATCGTCTTCTATAACTTCTATGGGGGTTTCCATGAATGATAACCATGTGAGGTTTGCCGGTAAACTGTTGGAAGTCACTACAGTTATTTGGCTGACCTGAGGAGAATAAATAATCATATTTTTAAATGTCTGAATAAACTAGGCTGACAAAAACATTACTAAAAATGTAATCATAGAAGGACTAGAGAGTCTTGGAGCCGCAAAGGCTAATAGCATATTGCTCACTGTCAGGTGGTCATCATCTTCTTCTTCTTCTTTACGATTATCGGTTGTAAACTCCGGCGGAAAGTTTTGATTGTTCGTCCACTTTTGGACTGCAGTCCTGTTTAATAACCTGAGCATCCGTATGACATATATCTGGCTCATTTGCGCGCAGACTTTTAGTTCCTTGCCTCTGTAGCAGATGCTTTCCGACTTAGAAGGAAGCTGCCAATTAGTCGACTCTTACGACATGCTTTTGGGTAGGCAGTAGGTCTATTGTTTTTCCCTATAAGAGGGCCCCGGAACCCACACGGGAGTCAGGCCATCATGTATTAAAGTCCTCACCGAGACGGGGTGGGTTTTATTATGTTGTTTTTCCAGTGACCTGGACTCCATGGTCGATCCAGCCAAAACATGTAATTACCTTCACACATACACGAAAAGTTAGTTGTGTATCCTTTAAAGGTTTTTGCAGCAATAATCCGAGCTTATTTTGTCTGTTCTTAGGTTTTAGTTGATAAATTTTACGTTAAGTGGTTTAGCATTGTCCGCAAAGCGGGCGCTCTATACTCTTGATTTGATTTGATTCAAGAACCGACATCACAGCACTCGGGGCATTCCCATAAGCGCTCCGTCCCCATCTTCGGCAACCAGCGAAGAGTTCCGATACTAATGGTGTCAGTAGCTTTCTGTTTAAACGTCCGTCTTGCCTTTCCTCTGAGGCTCGAGCAT